GCTTACTGTATGAAGATATTCCAATGACTGAACGAGCTATACTACCCAAACGCTAAGAACAACAGCGACAAGTCTCAAAACAAATGTTCACGAATCCGTTGGCTGCACAAACAGTGAGAGATCCTACTACTACTACTACTACATAGAACGATAAATAGGAAAACGATGACATATACGATAATTGGAAACAATTAGTGAATAAGGAGGGGTAAATGAGAGGAAACAGGTGAGACGGGGGTGAGGGTGGTGACGGGGAGGGGAGGGGGTGGGGCGGGAGGGGGTGGGGCGCGCGCAGCGCGCCGTGCTAAACGCACTTTCAACTTGAATATTAAAAACCATCGTTAAACATTTTTTGTTAATAACTTTTTAACGAGCAACGAGCGACGGCTAAAACCTTCTGAGGGTCACTCAGGAGGGTGACCTTGACCTTGACCTTGAAGGTCAAGGTCGTAGGAGCTGGGTCCCCTATTCGGCACTTTTACCGATTAAACAATAAGGGTTCACACTATGATGTGGAATTCTATGCTCTAAAAGCATTTCACATACACATTTTCTATTAAAGCTAAGCGATATCGACTTAAAATATCAGACAGACAGATTCATGCAGCTCCAAACTTCTCAACTTGTACTAATTGCGTACAAGAAATTATTTTAAAATAGTAAACACCAAAGCACTCTTTCATCTGTAATTTCTTTTCTCTTATGAAACATACGTCGATATCATTAAAGGGAAGAGAGATTTTAATTTTAATCATGAGGAAGACCGTGTTTATTACAGTTTAACATAGATAACATTTCAGCATAAAAATTAATATTAAATTATAAATATATGTAGTTAGATTGATAAAATTAATTATTTTTATTTCATACATAAACTACGTACGATACAAATTTGATCGACTAAACTCTTATACTTTTGATATTTGTAAAATAAGCTACGGACTATTCATTATTACACCATAAAAAGTTTATTTAGTAACTGAGGGGAACATTCTATTAACGTTGACAACATCATTACGTGTTTTGCGCAATTATAATACATCATAGAAAAGCAGTGTACAGCTCGTAATGATATCGTCACGTTTACAGAATAGGCTCTTTAGACATTTTATTAATATGGATAAAGCTGGATCTGATGTTCAATTTTCGTGTTAAAACAGCGATAAATATAAAGATGAATGCAGCACATTATTGTGAGGGCAACATTATTGACGTCAGAAATGAGCTGTGAATTTCTCTATGAAGAAGCCACACGAAATTGAAAGTTTTGCCCACTAACAATAAGCTTCCTGTATGCGCAAATGGGTTTTTCAGTTTCGGCTTTCTCATAAGGGAAAGCTCTCTTGTGTGAATTTTACATTTTAATTATTTAACTCACAAAGCTTTCTCTATGAGAAAACCAAAACCGAAAAAACTCACTTACTCATAGAAGAAGCTTAGTGGGCGAAATAAAACTATGAAGAAGTAACGTGCAAATTTTCAAATTGCACAATTTCTAATTTGATTTTACTTTTACTATTGTTGGGGGAAATGCATAGAAGAAAGCAAACTTTGAACTTTGCTGCAAAAATTATATTACACGATATTTGTAATGAAATAAGTTCGCACATAATTAATAGTAAATACATATTTTTATTCACAGACCAAATGTACATTTCAGAATTGAGTCGAATTTATAATTTTAAATTGATTAAAATTTAGAACCTCTTATACCACATCAATAAATAAACAAAGTTGATGTCAAAGGTTATAATTTGACTTATAGATCGACTTTCCTAGACGTAAATGAGTATATACAGGGTGAATAAAAAGTACCGTGGCAGTGAAATATCTTGAAAACAAAGCATTTTTGAGAAAAGCGTTTCGTATAAAAGTTTCAGGGTTAAAAAAGATCTATTTACTGAAGATATCAAGTTGACCTTGGGCGGCGTCGGCGAGGTCAAGTCAAGGTTACATCGACTTTTTTAATTAAAACCCCATACTGTTTATTATACTATCTTATTCTATTAATTAATATGAACAAGTTCTCTCTGAACATTTTGATTTGCCTAATACTTTATGAGATATTCAAGAGAAAATTGACAACTGTTTAAATATTTAGCTTATGATATCTCGATAACTGTTTGTCGGAGGGAAAAATAGTACAGGATTTTTGTATTTCATTTGGTCTCAGGAATATGCTGTTGCAATAGTTCTCTAACTATTGACAATTTCTGTGTATCTAAATAGTGTGTATGTTACAATACACAAAAAATTTCAATAATTGGAGCACTAGTGTAACAGCATATTCCTCAGATCAAATGAAGTAAAAAGTCCTGTAGTACTTTTCCCTCCGACAAACAGTTATCGAGATATCATAAGCTAAATATTGAAAACGTTATCCATTATTTCTTGAATATCTGAAAAAGTACTAGACAAACGAAAAAATGTTTCAGATGAAACTTGTTCGCATTAATGAGTAGAATAAGATAGTATAATAAACAATAAAGGGTGTCATTTATAAAAGTCAATGTAACCTTGACCTGACCTTGCTGGCGCCACCCAAGGTCAAATTGATAACTTCAGTAACTAGATCCTTTTTAATCCTGCAACTTTTATACGAAACGCTGTTCTCGAAAATGATCTGTTTACGAGATATTTCACCGTCACAGTACTTTTTACTCACATTGTATAAATATAAATTCAGAAGAAAGATATTTACTAGTATCCAATGTTGTGAAATTATATTTCACAAACATTAGATGCAAACTCATTCATAGGGTACACAGGGTCACGTTAATACAATTTGCACATAAAAGTGAAGTAAACGAGCACTTAGTAAGCCGAAACGTAATGACGAAACGGGAGCATGAGAATACGTGCATTTTATACAATACCAATAATATATTTTGAGTAAGTAAATTACATTAATATCGAATTTTACAACACGTCACTTCCGTCACCTATCGCAATAAAGTAAATCATTGGTTGTGGGGCAATGACACGATAAGCGGTGGGGTTTCGTAGGCGGTCGGTGTGCGGTGCACAGCTGATAAGCAGAACGTATCATCTTAGTATTTCGAAGGAAACTTTCTACCAGGTCGGACCATCCGTCTGGGAGAGTCACCGTTACGCATCTTCATCTTTTCCGTTAAACTTACTTCGCGAAGATATAGCCAGGATACCACCTACTTATACTCGCTCAAATCGTAAGTCACCGATTCGGTTTTTTTTCTGATTTCTTCAATTGTCACTTAACAGTTATACATAACACAGTAAAACCTAACTACTAATGAGAAATTAAAGAAAAGGTATGAACAGATATACTAACTCTGGATATTTATTGGCAAATTAATTACGACCGACAAAGTTTTTATAATAAAATCGTTTTCTTTTAAGTCTGTGCAAAGCAAAATATTAATTCGAATTGTCGAATCGTTTTATAACTCAAACCTAACTCAAACATGACACTTTCATTTCTAGTGTAGCACTTATGTGTGCTATACATTATATTTTATAGTAAAATTAAAATTTAATAATTTTACAAATGCTGTATTACAAATTGCTAATTTACTTATATGAGTTTTCTAAAATTTGAATTTGCTATTTCTTTGATTGAAAGGTTCATTTTAATTTTTAAGAATTTTAATCAGTCCTCGGAGAATATATATCTTATTAATATTTCTTTTGCTGAATTTATACTTGTGCCACTGAAGAAATCCAAATCAGCTTGTTACAGCATTCTAACGTTTCCTTTCTCTCACTTTCAATATATGTTGTAAATATTTAAAAATACTGTGAAACATAATCATAGCTTTCTTTAATTTTAGAACTGTAATTACTTATTATAGATATTCCAGCATTATGACTCCAAATTTATTTGGTAGTTCGACAACGTTAGTTCTTGAAGCTACTAAGCAGGATGTGTCGCAAAATAACTCAGTGGGAGAAAAGGCCTTGAAGCAAAAACTGTTAACCCAAACGACACTAAACTCGCAGCCTAAGTACGAGTGGAAGATCGTTTGGAGAAACGTGATATCTCTTGCTTACCTTCATATAGTTGCACTTTATGCATGGTATCTTCTGTTAACAATGCAGGTCTCACCTCTCACGTTTATTTGGTGTACGTTACATTTATATTTATTTTAAGATTTAAAACTTAAAATTCAAGTGTTGCTTCACTAATTGCAACCATAGATTTGCAAGAAGAAATAACAATAGCAGATGTCAAATTTTATACGGTTCTTTAGTGTACCTTACATTTGCGTATCTTTTCAGACTTAAAACTCGAAGTTAACATGTTATTTCATTAATTACAATCATTAATTTGCAGGACGACATAACGTTAAGAGTAGATGTCAATAACTTGAACAAATAGATTTTTATAAAATATCAAATAATAATTATAAATCTTATTTGTGAACAGTCTCATGATGTTATGCTCACATGTTTTATTTATTCTTTCAGATTTCGCATTAGGTTGTTTTTCGTGTATAGGTATTACAGCAGGTGTCCACAGATTGTGGTGTCATCGATCTTATAAAGCGAAATGGCCGATGAGAGTTATTCTTATGGTTCTACACACCATAGCTTTCCAAGTAAGTCTTTCGGCAATGCTGTTATACAATCTTATTCATGTACGTTAAGAAAAGTAACAATCATTATTACAAATTTATAATTATTATATCATAATTTAAAGTAATATGGCTGTATTTTAAAGATGTATTTTAAAGCGCAATACTCTTGAAATATAAAAAGAGGTTCATTGTTCATTAAAAAATGTACTTTATAGGGAGGTTTCTAAGAAGAAAGTCTAAATATAATTATCATTTAATGTACGTTTTGCAGAATCACATTTACGAATGGGTAAGGGATCACCGAGTACACCATAAATTCACGGACACGGATGCGGATCCGCATAATTCGAAGAGAGGCTTCTTCTTCTCGCACGTAGGCTGGCTGTTGATCCGCAAGCATCCGGACGTTATTAGTAAGGGAGCCACGATCGACATGAGCGATCTCGAGAAAGATCCTATCGTCGTCTGGCAACGTAGGTACGGTAATTTGTCATCGACGCAGACATTATTTTCCAAGATGGGTTGATAAAGTTTCACTTGTATTATCATATGTTCTTTCTTAAAGAAAGATTATCATCCGGTTTCAACTAAATGAATCTCTACGTTTACGTAACAGGTACTACGCTGTTCTGATGCCTCTTTTATGCTTCGTGCTTCCCATGTTGGTACCAATCTACTTTTGGAACGAGAGACCCATTTACGCGTGGTACGGTGCCGTTTGCAAATACGTAACAGCATTGAACGGAACTTGGTTGGTAAATTCCGCGGCCCACATGTGGGGTATGAAACCGTACGACAGGTGAGTATCATCGTTTATCCTATTGTTCGTATTTCAAGTCGTAAATCTACAGAAACAGAAATCGATAAGAGGAACGTGTTGGTATTTTTATCGTAGCTCCATTAGCCCTACTGACGGCTACAGCATCCTCGGTATCGGTGTTTTCGGCGAGATGTGGCACAATTATCATCATGTGTTTCCATGGGATTACAAGGCCGCCGAATTAGGATACTACCGCAGAAACATTACCTGTGCTTTCATCGACTTTTTCGCCTGGCTCGGCTGGGCATACGATCTGAAGACCGTGGGACACGACTTAGTAAAGAAACGCGCAGCCCGAACAGGTGACGGTTCGATATATGAGCGAACGGGTGATCATAAGGATGAACTTCACACCCAAGAGAAAATTATATGGGGATGGGAGGACGCTGATATGTCATTGGAGAATAAGCTGGCCGCGGAGATTCTCAATAAAGAGTCCTGAGTTTAAATTCCTAAAAATTTTTGACGTGACACTGCATTTGGAGTTGCGTAAGAAGTTTCGTCCGACAGACGTTTGGGTTTACAATTGTATGGTATGGTAAATTTATAATAAATGCGACTATTAATGGTAAAAGATTCGTACTAGCATGTAAGGTATCGTAATTATCTGTTAAAGATATTTAGTAATTATGATTGTGGTGGTTGCACACGTTTCTGGCAAGTGACAGCTCGCGTACTCGCAGAAACTACACATAGTCGGTCTCGCACATAAATGTCACATTTCTTTGAACGATTATATTCCTATCGAATAACGCACAACAGGACTTTGTATTGTAACATATAGCATACAACAGATACAATATTCACGTTTTTAACAAGTGGGTTCGGCTATTACTTTGACAACACTCATCCAAGATGACCTTCTAGTTAAAAATGAGAAATTATTAATACGGACATTTAAGAGCGTCCAATGATATTTATTGTATCAAGAGACACGATAATGCTAGGTATAAGCGGAGTGAAACGAAGCGCGCAGGATCGACCGTATAGCCTTTTACGAGTTGAAAGGGCCTTACATTGCCGGATCTCAATAATGGCTGTCTCGATCAACTTCTAAGTACGTTCAATCAATAGCTCGGGTTCGCCTTGCATGAGAAAAAAATTTTTATTTTCTCCCTGTGTTTACTACAAGTGGAGGTAATTTTCAATTAAAAAACGTCGTCATCGTCGTCATTGTCGACGGAGTCGCGCGCGCGCGTGTGTGTGTAAAATTCGTTATAAATATACTGAGCATGCGTTTCTTGGCGCTGCTAAACCGAATTTTACATACACACACACACACACACGCGCGCGCGCACACGCAACGTTTGTAAATTTTGAATTTATTTCGATTCTATCATAGAAAGCCGTCTATGATAAGATGGTTATACATATATTTATTGTTCGTGTCGTCCACCCCCAACAACATACAAAAAAAATTAATGAAATCGGAGAGAAGGCCCCTTTTATGCATAATTAGCAAAACTTTGTATTAAATTCGTGGGAAAAAAACAGAAACACGAAATACGGAATATGAAATGTAAAATTAAAATATTAAGTTTTTAGACGCGACGACGTTTGGATTCTAATAAAGTATTAATAATCAAAATAAAGTATTAGGTGCATGTACAAATGATGTACACGCAATGTATATACACATGAATAATCCAAATTTTTCAGTTATATTTAAGAGTTATTTTAAGAGAAAGTAAAACAATATTGTCAATCAAAGTATTCATCATTTCTTTATATAACCTTAAGCCATCTGTCAGGTAATTGAATTACATCTTGGAAAAATGTTGTATCTTTGGATAATAAACGATAAATTCGTCGAACCATTTTCGGATCTCATCTACTGATTTGAAGTGCGTATCGGACAAGGCATGTTGCACCGACTGGAACAAGTGGCAATCGGTAGGAGCGATGTCTGGTGAATACGCCGGGTGCTGCAAGACGTCCCAGCCAAGACTCATTATGATGTTTTTGTCGTAGAAACAATATGTGGCCTAGCGTTATCATGCAACAATTTCATAAGACGTTCTTCTTTGCTAGTATACGGGCGTTTTCGTGCTACTTCTTGACTCAAACGCATTAATTGGTCTTGATAGCGGTTCGCAGTAATTGTTTCATTCGGTTCTAAGAGCTTATAATAAAACACGCCCTTGATATCCCACCAAATGCAGAGCAGAACTTTCTTTGCGAAGCGATTGGATTTTGCGACCGATGTTGAGGGTTCGCCGGAATTTACCCCTGATTTCCTGCGTTTTGGATTGTCATAGAGTATTTACTTTTCATCACCCGTAACCATTTTCCACAAGAAAGACTTTCTACGCTGCTTATTGAGAAGAGAAAAGCATACTGGTACTCGTTGATTTTTGTTGGCTTCACTGAGTTCACGCGGAACCTATTTTCCTTCTTTATGAATCTTTCCCCTCTCGTGTAGGCATTTGGAAATAGTAGAAAGCAGTACTCTAACCTTGGACGGACCAACGCGCAGTACAAAAGTCTTAATGTGTTTACGTTATTAAAATATCTCCCCCGGCGAAGAATGAATCCGCGAGTTCTGTTTGCAGAAGCTACAATAGGCTTTATATGATTATTGAAAGTTAAATTGCTACAAAATAAGATACCTAGATCACGGATCTCTTCCACCACTGTGAGAGGTAATCCGTCAAGCACATAATTAAAAAGATATGGGTCGCGTTTACGAGTAAAACGGGCAATAATACATTTTGAGATATTAAGCCTCAGGCAATTTCTCTCACACCAGGACCCAAGAGCCAGAAGATCGTACTGCAATAAAAGTGCATCCGCAGGGGAGTCAATACGTTTGAATAGTTTCAGATCATCAGCATATAATAAGAAGTCACAGTATTTAAGATAACTAGAAATGTCATTAATAAATAAAACAAATAGGAGAGGTCCAAGATGAGAGCCCTGCGGCGCACCAGACGCAACGGCAAAGTCTCTAGATAAACAGTCAAAATATTTTACAACCTGAGTCCTGTTAGAGAGAAAGCTTAATATCCAACGCAAAAGAGAGCCGTCGAACCCTAGGGTCCGAAGTTTCCCAATTAAGATAGAGTGGTCAACGCTGTCAAATGCCTTCCTAAACTCAATGTAAACAGAGTCAACCTGAGATCTATCTTGTATGGCAGATGTTAGATAATGGCAATAATTGACAAGGTTGGTCGTCGTGGAGCGACCAGGCATGAATCCATGGTGTTCCGTAATGATAGTGTTTCTACAAAGTGAACCAAGTGTTTTTTAGCAACAATGCCCTCAAAGATCTTCGGCATGATACTCTGCTTACAGATGGGGCGATAATTAGTGAACAGCTGACGATCACCCCCCTTAAAGACAGGAGCGCGCAGGAAACATGCCATCCCTCAGTGAACTATTGAATATAAGCCATAGAAATGTAGCAGATATAAAGATATATTTAGGACTTTAAAAACAATGGCGGAATGCCATCCACACCAGCAGCACAGACCAGCGAAAGATTATCAATCTCGTTATACACCTCGTCAATAATAATAAATCAAAGCATCTTATTTTTAATTAATTAATAGATTATTGTGGGAAATGCATAAAAAAAAGCATTTGAACTGTGCTGCAAAAATAATATTATACGATATTTGTAGTCAAATAAGTTCGAACATAATTAATAGTAAATATATATTGCTATACAATATTAATTTTTAATATAATAATTTAATAATTTAATATTTGCTATACACATAGTAAATGTATTTCAGAATTGAATCGAGTTTTCTATTTTATGTTAATTAAAAGTTAGGACCCCTTACACAACATCATTAAAGAAACAAGGTTGATGTCAAAGGTTATAATTAGACTTACAGATAGGCTTTCCTTGACGTAAATGAGTATATTAAAAAGCGAATAAAAAGTACCGGGTCGGTGAAATAGCTCGAAAACAAAGCATTTTCGAGACAAGCGTTTCGTATAAAATTTACAGGGTTAAAAAGATCTACACTGAAAAAAATTTCTGGTTGAATATGGACGAATCAGATAATTCCTTTAGGATTTACCAGAATTCTTTTAGGATTTACCAGAATTCCTGTAATCCTAAAGGAATTATCTGATTCGTCCATATTCAACCAGAAATTTTTTTCAGTGTAGTTACTGAAGATATCAGTTTGACCTTGGGAGGCGTGGGCGATGTCAAGTAAAGGTTACATCGCCTTTTTTAATTGGAACCCCATATTGTTTATTATACTATCTTATTCTACTAATTAATATGAACAAGTTCTGTCTGAAATTTTTGATTTGCCTAATACTTTATGAGATATTCAAGAGAAAATTGACAACTGTTTAAATATTTAGCACAAATTCTTGTGGATGTAAATTTTATGTAAGTTGCAATACACAAAAAATTTCAATAATTGGAGCACTATTGCAACAGTATATTCCTCAGACCAAATCAAGTAAAAATGTCCTGTACTACTTTTCCCTCCGACAAACATTTATCGAGATCTTATAAGTTAAATATTGAAAAAATTATCAATTTTCTCTTGAATATCTCAAAAAGCATTAAGCAAATAAAAAAAAATGTTTCAGACACAACTTGTTCGTATTAGTAAGTAGAATGAGATAGTATAGATTTTTGTAGAGACAATATTTTTGAAAAGGTATTTTTGGAAAGATATTTTTATAAAAATATTTTTGTAAAGAAGATACTTTTGCAGGAAAGATATTTTTGTAGAGAAGATACTTTTGCAGAAGAGATAGAGTTCAGTAACTAGATCTTTTTAACCCTGCAACTTTTATAGGAAACACTTTTCTCAAAAATGCTTTGTTTTCGAGATATTTTACCGTCATAGTACTTTTTACTCACATTGTATAAATTCAGGAGAAAGATGTAACAATTAATAGTATCCAATGTTGTGAAATTATATTTCGCAAACAGTAGATGCTAAACTCATGCATACGGTACACAGAGTCACGTGAATACAAGTTGCACATAAAAATGAAATAAACGAGCACTTGGTAAAGCGCGACGTAATGACGAAACGAGAGCATGAGAATACGTGCATTTTATACAATAGCAACGACAGATTTTGAGTAAGTAAGTTACATTAATATCGATGTTTACAACATGTCACTTCCGGCACCTAATACAATAAAGTAATTCTTTGTATGGCAATGACACGACAAGTGGTGGGGTTTCGTTGGCGGTCGCGGTGCGGTGCAGAGCTGATAAGTAGAACGTTGTATCTTAGTATTTCGAAGGAAACTTTCTACCAAGTCGGACCATCCGTCTGGGAGAGTCACTGTTACGCATCTTTTCCGTTAAACTTACTTCGCAAAGATATATCCACGACACCACCTACTCATACTTGTCGCTCAAATCGTAAGTCATGGATTTGTTTTTTTTCTGATTTCGTCAATGGTCACATAAAAATTATACATAACGCAGTAAAAAAGGAAATATATTTAAAAAGTCGACCAAACTGGCAAAAAGGTGATCTTTATTTAGTTCACAACGTTTCGACTTCGTAATCGGGTCCTTTTCAAGTATGGTCTATAGTTGTCGGAGCAGCGCAATTTGCTTGACCGAAACAGAATGAGTGCATGAGTCTGTGGTTGCAGACAGTTTTATTCGACTTGCAAAACAGTACGGCTGCTACTTGTGAAATGTTAAAGGCAGACACCGTGATCGATAATCCACCGACTACCGAAACATGTTTAACACTATGAATTTGCAACCACAGACTCGTGCACTCATTCCGTTTCGGTTAAACAAATTGCGCTGCTCCGACAACTACAGACCACACTTGAAAAGGACCCAATTAAGAGGTCGAAACGTTGTGAACTAAATAAAGATCACCTTTTTGCTAGCTTGGTCGACTTTTTGAAAAATATTCCCTTTTTGAATCATCACTGGCGACAATAAGATTCACTCAATTTGTTTAACACAGTAAAACCTAACTACCAATGAGAAATTAAAGAAAAGGTATTAACAGATAAGCTAATTCTGGATATTTATTGGCAAATTAATTGCGACCGACAAAGTTATTATATTAAAATCGTTTTCTTTTACACCTGTGCAAGGCGAAATATTAATTTGAATTGTCGAATCATTCTATAACCTAACTGTAACATGACATTTTTTCTAATGTAACACTTATATGTGCTATACATACTTATGTTGATTTGAGAAAGAGTTGAAAAACTACGACCGCGTACAAAATGATTGTAAATTTATTATGTTATTTTCAGTATTCCGTATGTTTATCCCTTTACGAATACTAATGAAAGAAAAAGCGGTACACACGGGTACAAACGAAATAGTACTCGCTGTCAGATTTCAAATAGCTTAAATAATGTCAAAGTTACCTCCTACCCAAATTTTTAATATTCTGTATTTCTATCCTCCTAAAGGTATGAAACGAAAAGCAGTACAAACGGATAAATTCAATATCCCTAATCGAATAAATTACTAATCAATTTGACTAATTCTTTTCTAGATGCGTATTATCAATGACTCACGAAATAATCGAAATGATAGTTTTTCAAAATTGAATATACATACATTCTTAATTATGACTAATTATATTTTATGGTAAATTTAAATTGAATAACTTTACAAATGTTGTACTACAAATTTCTAACTTAGCTATATAACGAAAGAAAAATTTACTTATTGTCACCAGTAATGATTAAAAATTGAACCGGGAAACTTATAGTCATCCCAACTGGCTAGTTATTTAATTAGTTTATTACACACCGTTTCGACCCTATTCTTTTGGGTCCTTCTCGAGTGATAAGGCGCTCGCAATGTAGAATTCTTGGTTCTGACCATTTGAACTCGTGATTATGTGATGCACGGAGTTTGCTGACCACGGAGTGGCAGCTTTCGACTTTTTTTATGTCATTTTTGTGTTCTTTGATTCTGGTAAGAAGGTGTCGTTTGGTATGCCCAATGTAAGAGGCTTCACAGTCGTTGAAATTAATACGGTAAATGACTTCGGTTTTTTGTCCCAATTTACCTGATCTTTGCCTCTTTTAATAATTTTATCTAATTTTTTTGGGACAGTGTAGATGGTGTTTAGACCTGTTTCTTTTTTCAAATTTATGCTAATTTTGTCTGTCAATCCTTTAATATAGGGGAGGATGATGCTTTTCTTAGGGTCAAAAATTTTTTTATTAGCGGTCGCGCAGTCAGTATGTGTGGTATCCCGTCTTTTAGATATATAAGTTTTCTAAAATTTGAATTTTCTATTCCTTTGTTTAATTTAGAATTTTAATCAGTCCTTGGAGAATATATATCTTATTAATATTTCTTTTGCTGAATTTATACTTGTGCAACCGAAAAAATCCAAATCTGCTTGTTAGAGCATTCTAACGATTTTTTTCTCTTATCTCTTTCTCGTGGTATCTTTTCTCTTTCTCTCACTTTCAATATATATTGTAAATATTTAAAAATGTTATGAAATATAATCATAGCTTTCTTTAATTTTAGAACTGTAATTACTTATTATAGATATTCCAGCATTATGACATCAAATTTGACTAGTAGTTCGACAATGTCATTGCTTGAAGCTTCTCAGCAGGATGTGTCGCAAAAGAAATTAGTGGAAGAACGGACCTTGACGCAAACACTGTTAACCCAAACGACACTAAACTCGCAGCCTAAGTACGAGTGGAAGATCATTTGGAAAAACGTGATAGCTCTTGCTTACCTTCATATCGTTGCACTTTATACATGGTATCTTGTACTAACAATGGAGATCCAAATTCGCACGTTTATTTATTGTACGTTACATTTATATTTATTTTAAAATTTAAAATTAAAAATTCAAGTGTTGTTTCACAAATTGCAACCATTGATTTGCAAGAAGAAATAATAGCAGATGTCAAATTTTACACGGTTGTACGTTACATTTGCATATCTCTTAAGACTCAAAAGTTGAAGTTTGAATGTTGTTACATTAATTACAATTATTAATTTGCAAGAGGAATTTAGCATAAAGAGCAAATGTCAATAGTTTGAACCAATAAATCTTTATAAAACATCTAACAATAATTACATATTTTATTTGTGAACAATCTCTTTATTATTATATTCTAACACGTTTTATTTATTCTTTCAGATTATGCAGTGGGTTATTTGTCGGGTATAGGTATTACAGCAGGTGTCCACAGATTGTGGTGTCATCGATCTTATAAAGCGAAATGGCCGATGAGAGTTATTCTTATGGTTTTACAGACCATAGCTTTCCAAGTAAGTCTCTTGGCAATGCTGTTATACAATCTTATTCATGTATGTTAAGAAAAGTAACAATCATTATTACAAATTTATAATTATTATCTCATAATTTGAAGTAATCTCGGCTGTATTTTAAGGCACAATACTCTAAAAATATAAAAAGAGATTCATTGTTCACAAAAAAATGTACTCTATAGAGAAATTTCTAGAAGAACGTCTAAATATAATTATCGTTTCACGTACGTTTTGTAGAAACACATTTACGACTGGGTGAGAGAGCACCGAGTGCACCATAAATTCACGGACACGGATGCGGATCCGCATAATTCGAAAAGAGGCTTCTTCTTCTCACACGTAGGCTGGCTGATGGTCCGCAAGCATCCGGACGTTATTAGTAAGGGAGCCACGATCGACATGAGCGATCTCGAGAAAGATCCTATCGTCGTCTTCCAACGTAGGTACGGCAATTTGTCATCGACTCAGATATTATTTTCGAAGATGGGTTGATAAAGTTTCACTTGTATTATCATGTATTCTTTCTTAAAGAAAAGATTATCATCCGGTTTCAACAAAATAAATCTCTACGTTTACGTAACAGGTACTACGCTGTTCTGATGCCTCTTTTATGCTTCGTGCTTCCCATGTTGGTACCAATCTACTTCTGGAACGAGAAACCCATTTACGCGTGGTACGGTGCCGTTTGCAAATACGTAACAGTGTTGAACGGAACTTGGTTGGTAAATTCCGCGGCCCATATGTGGGGTACGAAACCGTACGACACGTAAGTATCATCGAAGATCCGCCTATGTCGTTTATCCTATTATTCGTACTTCAAGTTGTAAATCTGCGGAAACAGAGATCAATAAGACAAACGTGTTCGTATTTTTGTCGTAGCTCCATTAGCGCTACCGACTACAGCTTCTTCGGCTTCAGTGCTTTCGGTGAGATGTCGCACAATTATCATCATGTGTTTCCATGGGATTACAAGGCCGCCGAATTAGGATTCAATAGCAGAAACATTACCTGCGGTTTCATCGACTTTTTCGCCTGGCTCGGCTGGGCGTACGATCTGAAGACCGCGAGACACGACTTAGTAAAGAAACGCGCAGCCCGAACAGGCGACGGTTCGATATATGAGCGCACGGGTGATTATAATGATGAACTTCACACGCAAGAGAAAATGACATGGGGATGGAATGACGCCGATATGTCATTCGAGGATAAGCAAGCAGCGGAGATTCTCAATAAGGAGCCCCGAAATTAAAGGAACCCCGAGATTCCTCAAAAGTTTTGACGTATTATTACAGTTGGAGTTACGTAAAACGTATCGTCCGACAGACGTTTGGGTTTACAATGGTATGGTAATTTTATACATGGGATTATTAATGGTAAAAGGTTCATACATAGTATCATGTAAGGTATTGTAACATCTGTTATAGATGTTTAGTAATTATGATTGTGGTGTTTGCGCATGTCTCTGGCAAGTGACAGCTCGGCCACCACACTAGCAGCTCAGCCATTTGGTAAAAAATGGAGGAAATGCTACCATGTGTATTTCACAGGAATAAATAACAGATATAATATCCGTATTAATAATTTCTAATTTTTAACAAGAAGGTCACCTTGGATGAGTGTTTATTTGTTACAACCCTAACTTTTAACAGGGCATATATCTTTTGTCCTAGAGTGTAGGAAGGTGCAGGCTCAAACCTTGGCTGATGTAATACTTTTTGCAATAAATTTACTGTGTTAAAAAACACGTTGCCAGTTATGGTCGATGAAAGCTTAATTATTGTTAAAATTTTATTATTGAACAGGTGGCCTGACACACCTTGTTGCACTATTGTGCGAAAACTTCAAATTAACGTAATTTTATTAAAATAGAAGTAAAACCGAGAGTCGTTTTGCATTATAGTCCAGCTAAATGTGCAATTCTTTTCAAAGTAAATATCTAAAAAAATATTTACTTTTTGCAGACTATGTTAACAGTGTATATTAAACTTAAAAAATTGCATGCTAGAGAAAACATAAACTCGCCAAGAATTTCGTAGCGTACACAACTCTCGACAGTAATAATTAAAATTTTGAACATAAAAATAAAACAAGCATGTAGATATCATGTTTCCCGAAAATAATGTTAACAAGTGAAGACTTTGTTTTAACGATCACGAGGTATAGTAAAATAATTCGCGCGAATTTGCGAAGTGATTGGCCGACGATAGCTCGTCCGTGTGCGAAATTGCATTGCACGACACGATTATAACTATTGGCCCCCAACCATCGAATCTGAATCGCTTCGGTTCGACCACAAAGCGGTGTCCATTACGCCTTGCCAATACCAACCAGACCGAAGACACCGCCGTCGCGGAGCGTGTGCGCTTGACGAGGAAAACGCGACATCCCGTTTCCAATAATCCGCCGCTGTTGATCTTACACCGTCGAAGTACGTGGCGAACATTCTCGAAACTCTGCGCGACATCCCTCTAACGAATCTTTCGCACGTACAGCTCTCTAATCGCGCGCGAGCAAACCGCGATAAGAGATTTCGCATTAGATTAGGCGCGCGTGCCATTTACAGGCGCACACAGGCGGAAGGCGGTAACGATCGTTCGGGAAGGAGTTCGGGAACCTGTTAGCAACAAATGCTTCGAGCTGTTCCACAAGAGGAAAACCTGTTGGTACGGTGATAAATCGACAGGGTCTTCTCGCGCGCGAGATCTTCCTTTCGATTGTACTCGATATATTCCGCGATCGTTGTATCGATGCGCATCGATGGCAAAAAAGATTCGCAAAGCCACACGTTGAATCGGAAGATTCTACTTTACTCCGTATTTCCTACTCTGAGTGTCACTCTCTTTCCTTCGCGTAAGGTGAACGGGGAGGAAAACAGATACTTCCGGTCTGCGTATTGCGGATCCGAAGCACGTATCCCATTCCCGCGAGGCACACCCTCCCCCCCCCACACACACACATATATATATATATATATATATTGTGTTCGATAACTCGAAAGCTTAGCTCAACGACTTTCGGCAGTCGCGCAAGGAGTAAAGCGGCCGCTGTTACGTCTCTCTCGACCTAGCTTCCTCCTTCCCCTTTTAATCCCGGATATCAATAACGCGGATTTTGTTCCCGATAACACGCGCGCTTATCGCTCCCTGGGCCATCGCTGGCGCGTGGATTATCGTCGTTTGTCCGGGTTTTAACACGGATATACGCTCGCACCTTCGAAAAAGAAAGATATAATCGATGTATAGTCTCTGTTCTCTCTGTCCCGTTCTTCTCTTCCCCATTTTATTAATATATAAATAAGAAGAATAACAAGCAACAAACTCGAGTCATACAATGTTCTTGAGACTTGATAAAATATCTGCGTACGAGTTGAATCTTGACCATATTAGTAAGTTTATGAGAACCATCAATGCCGCACGAGATTCAATTCTCTAAAGTAGTTTTGGTGATTCCGAAAAGGGACCGATTTTACCGATATATTCCTGAAATGATTCCGATGTCGATTCCGCGGGCCAGTTTTTCACCATGATTTTAGATTGTCGCAATAAAAAAGTTTTAGATTCCCTCGGCTTTTAATTGCATCAAATATTTACAATGCGTGTACAAAAGCAATCGTCCAAGTTATACCGCGCGTGCGTTTCCAATTTCATGCTCCAAAAATAATAGTTGAGTTACGGCGAATATTTTTTTAATTTTTTATTTGAGAGGAAAATATTCGCATGACCAGTAGCTTTATCAATTTTTGCGTTTAAAAGAGAATAACTGATGTACCCGTTCTTTGCGCAAAGTGCAAAAAAAGCTCTCGATAGTGTTGCATTTTAAACGGGACGAACATCTTATAAATGCTGTTAAAAGAAAGCAGACATGATAAAACTAATTCAATTTTGTAGCGTGAGATTCTTACAACTTTTGTCATTTTTGCTTAATGAAACGAAAACATTTGTTTTGATAAAAGTTTACTTTAAAATATTTCTCTTCTGTATACCTAAAAAAAAAAGTATGACGGTATGCTTACTTTTCTTCTCCCCTTCTTCGCAAAATTACATTAAAAAAAAGTTCGTTTATATCAATGTTATCAGTATTATTTTCTGAAATTCTCACGATAAGTTCTTTTAATCAAGTAATCAGCAAGTCCAGTGTGATCAAACTGCTTCTCAGACGTCTCAACATCGGATTATTCCACTTAGACTACGTTTCGTTAAAGAATCAGTTAGAATGAGGAGTTCTTCGTTCCCTGGAAAGTAACTACGATTTCTATGCGTTTAATCGTATTGAAGATTCTGTGTCGTTGTCGTGATAGTGAGAAGGTTTACGCTCGTTGCATTCGTCGATCTGGAACGACAAGGAAAGGCAAGCAAATTGGAAAGCTTTCAGGGCAGAAGTCTAGTCGTTTACGAAAGCTCGTTGTCTTTTCTCGATCGTTTGTAAAAGAACTTCTGCATGTACTCCAATTTTATATACGGGTTATATAGTACGTGCGTACGTTTAATTCATTTTTATTGCGGATATCTCGTTTATAGGTATATGACGAAGATAAAATTAAAACACCTCAGTTTTATCGTCCGTGAGCGGAGAATATAAAGTGCATATATACATAGTATAGCGCTGGAAAGTATTTTATTAAACTCGAACGGATTATACATGATAGCCGTTAGGTGTGCCTGAAAAAAACCGAAGCACTCTCCTACATTCCATTATTTACAATAAACGACAGTTAGAAATATCGATCATCGTAACTAACAAAACTTAAAAGTTCCATATGTTAAAGAGAGGGCGATATGTAATAACAAAAAGGGAATTTCTCGACGCACCGTCGCGTGATGCGATTCCAACTTTCAAACCAGCATTATTATCACAGTATAACCATAGACATAGTAAGAATAGACCGCGCGTTCCCTCCCATGTTGAAGACGTGTACAAACTTTAGAACGAGATAGCTAACAGTTGGGTGGTCGCCTCATCTTCGTCCAATAAATAGTGGGAGTAACAGAAGAGTTAAGCCCGTATCAGACTACAGACTCCCGACTCTGACTCGACTACTGACTCGGACTCCGGACTATGATTCAACCAATCACGGCGAGGCACCGGCCGACCCTGGCTGCCGACTCGGGAATAGACCACTCTAATTGGTTGAATTATAGTCGGGAGTCCGAGTCAGCAGTCGAGTCAGAGTCGGGAGTCCGTAGTCTGATACGGGCTTAAGGGGAATGCACACGCACGTCGCTGGATTCTGACCGGAAGCATGGCGGAATACCACGTGATCGGGACCGAAAAGATCAAAGGGCCAAGAGAGAGAGTGGGCATACTAGTTATACTACGGTATATTATCAGGACGCCGAACGGACAATGTACGGAATAATGGCTTCAATAAACGACTATAAATGGACTCGCGAGCATTTCGATTATCTAATACTCGCAGAAACGATAACCGGAATGGGATTCTTGGTGTAAGCCCGTGTCGCCGGGCATAACTCGACTACCGAACGACCACGAGGCAGCGACACGTCGATAGTACCGGCGAGAGTACACGGCTTTACACACCGGCGGGCAATGTGGGCAACGTGGATGCCGCCGTTGAAACTAATTTTGTCGGATAGCACCGGGGAGGTTATCGCGCGAGATGTCGATGACGCCTCCTTAGAAGGGCGTGGTAACAGTTTTATCGCGGGACGTGAAAGGGCGACGTTCCGGGAAAAGTGGACCGGACTGGGGGATGAAATATCGTTTCTTCGCCGCAAAGTGTGTTCCGCGACCATTGAGGACGCCGTAATACTCGGGATATTGCTCCGTTCGTATCATTGGCGCTATTATTTAACTGTTCCTCACGATGGCAGGACGGAATTACGTGTAAGCGCCTCGTCGATCAAATCTCTTATTCGTTCGATCTCGCGCGGAGATCGTTTCCATTTAAAATGGACAGGGAGAATCTTCATGGCATCAATGCGGATATTATATTCAACGGTTGTCGTAATTCTAGGATATTTTCTGCCCCCAGGTGCTCGTAAAAAATATTGCTCTTTAAACTGTAGCGTTGCGTGTTTTCATCTCAATAAAACGTCAGCGAGATATTCGTGTAAATTTGCGATTTTGAATATTTTTCAAGAATTTTAGAATTTAATTTATCTCGCCTACAAACGTGGATACTTTAATAACGTTTCAGAATACCGAGTCGACTGTAAGGATAGCCGGAAAATTTTAATTACCAGACGACGAAGTATCGACAAGTAAAATTCTCATTACCATAAAGCGAATGGCGGAATGACAGCGGAGTCAATCGCGGCGTGGAGACCTGAATTTCTCGCGTCATGCCTCGTCATTGGAGAATGTAGATCGTGTTTTCTTTACGGGCGCCGTATTATCCGGGCGCTTTAATAGGCCCGTGAAAAGGAGAGATTCGGCCTTTAAAGATATCCCGCGGCGCTTAGCGATAACGCGATAACAAGGCGCGCGCGCGCGCGCGCGTCCGCCGGTCTTTGGAAAGTCACGAGAAACGAGAACGAACGCGGCGCGTTCGTTCGGGCGCCGAGGCCATTGAATATGGAGCTTAATAAAAGCACGCATAAATATCGGGAGGTCT